GTCATCGCAGTACAGCAGTATAAAAATGGCCGCCGAGCTGACGCAGTATATGATCATTAGACCGTCGTCGTACACAGGCTCTGAGCGCTAACTTCACAACATGAACTCTAGCCGGTTAGATTTCCTCCTCGCTCTTTTTTTTATTAGCATTGTACACTCGACAGTCAGGGAATTGCACCAGCATCAGCGTCCAGGATAAATACCAAAACCAAGGTCTTGTTTTACCAACAGGAAACCTAGTTTTCCATGCAGTTTTATGCAAATACTGCAGAAGGCTTTGTAAAAATGGAAATGTAACGCAGTAACATCAGTTCCTGAAGTACTGCAAAAAAATCAAATCAACAGATACGTCTGTCTCTCTAAATGTGGTCATTATCACTCATCATTATCACTGTCACACACACACGCAGAGTAGGAGTGTGTGTGTGTGTGGGAGGGGGTATTCCAACATGTAGAGTACGTCTTGTTGGAATGTAGACGACTACACACAGGTTGGTCAGACAATGAGTCACTGAGCCGAGGGAGGAAATATGATAATACGTCAGCTACTCTCGGTGTGTGTGTGTGTGTTTGGCCTAGTTAACGTGACCCTTCAGTGTGTTGGTTTGACAGAAAGTTACAGGTTAATCTGTGATAATTGAATTGTAGTCTTTCCTACCTCGAACATGATCACGTCATCTGCGTACAACATGTATTTAATGTTGATTAATGTTCATTAATCCTGACTCGTCTTGACCTGCTTTGACCTGGTTACCATAAAGTGACTCGGGATGCTGCCAAACCTCAATCAATGGGATTAGACGAGCAATCGCACTTCCTATTTAGCAGCTAATCCAGATTAAGGTGCTGAAGTTTTGACTGCGTTACCGTCCGATCGTCGCCAAAACTAGAACAAGGTCAAGTCGCTCCAGTGCATGTACGAACTGTTGTTTGGAGTCTGAGAGACAGAGTGAACGGCTGGTTAACCGTCCTGTACAGTCTACTCTGTCTGTAAACTGGAACGTTAGCATCTGTAGCTCCTGGCTACACAGAAGCAACCGTTTGGTTTTTGTAGCAACAGTTGGTCGTTGTGTTTCGTCCTCCGTCTAAAACAGTCCAAAACCACTGAACTGGTCGTTGGTGGCTCTGATTTTTCTGACCTTCTCCTTTTATTAATACATTTGGCATTCAGAGGAGAATGTGACGGGGGGAGGGTTCGGGGGGGGGGGGACAGGCTCGTGAACTAAAAATAGACGAAGGAGAGAGTAGTTCTGATGACAGCATCACCACACAACAATCAGACAGAAGAGCTGACGTTACAGCGCAGCACTGTAACAGAGGTAACGGTGAACAGGTACAGTATCTCCTCCTCCAGCCCTGACTTTGGTTAAACAAATAACAACCACTTCTGTAACTTTTTTTTTCTGTTCTATACGAGAAGGAAGATCTAGTTTGGCTTCACTTTGGGGGACAGTGTTCTTTGGGTTCCGTGTCTCTCCTTCCATTCAGCCACATCTGTTCTTTGTCTCATTGCTCTGCTCCTGGTGTTGACTTCACAGACTGTGGGAAACTGTAGTGACTGTTTCATTTGACACTTGACTTCCAAACTGGACTCAGTTGACACACAAGTGTCTCTACAGGTGTTTAGGGCCTTGATCCACACATGGGATCCAGACGGTTCGCTAGAGTTTCAAATCAGCTTGTGTAGTGTCAAATTTTTGTTTTTTGTTTTTGTTTTTGTTTGTGTTTTCCTCACCTAATTTTTACTCTAAGTTAAAAATGAAATGATTATTGTGATTTTTTTTCAAATTAGCTTCACATTTAGCTTCAAGAAGAATTAACTGCAGCAAGTGTTCAAAGGAGGGGGGGGGGCATCAATCCACATTCACAACAGGGAGCAAAGTAAAGTGTGTGTGTGTGTGTGTGTCTGAGCAGTGTTCTCCATGGCTCCACCCCTTCAGGCATTGACCTCCTTTTCATTATTCACACATGCAGCAACTTTACTTCTGTCCTTCTTTTTCCTCTTCATTTCTGAGACGTGTGTGTGTGTGTTGTGTCATCTTTTTGGAACCATTGCTGTTGTAAACATTGACTTTTGTCAGATACCTGACTGACGTCCTGACATGAACCGAGGTCCGGGGTAAAATCAGACTAAAGATGTGAACTCCAGTTTTTCAGGTTGAGTAAAACGTCAGGCATCAATGTTTCTGTCAAGGCTTTGGTTTAATTGCCTAAAAGAATGAACTTCTGCAGAGAGTTAACATCTGTTCAAATCTAAATGTGTCTGTCTGTGGGTGTGTGTTCTGTTCACCCCATGTCACACTACAGATCATACAAATTTTTTTGAGAGATTTGAGAGATTGAGGACTTTGACGTCCAGTCAACACATATTTATGTTCAAGACTCCAGATGGAAACGACAGCTTTGTGACATGGTGTCTTATCAGGCTACAGGCAGTCATCAGTTGATATGGTCAACAATCTTAAAGTATGACGTTCAACCGGGGCTCATTTGGATTCACACTTTAATGCTAAGTGAATGTTACAGCAGAAATCCGCTTTTTTTAAACGATTTTGTTTTTCAATATTCAACTTCACTTATGATTGGAAATTTGCATTTCTATAAATCCATCGATTCATCCACGAAATCCCTATGGAACCAGTCACTAATTCATTACACCGCCTACAATTGACATTCTGGCAGCACTCTAAATCTTTAAAGAACTTTGCAATGCATTATTTTAATAAAACGTGTCAATATTCTTGCTTTTTGTCTGTGCCGATTTAAAGAGCACTATTTAAAAACTCGTGCAAACTACGCTAAATTAGTGTTGGATGTGTAAAAAAGTTCATATTTTTACAATGAAACCAAAATATGTTACATTTCAAATGGGGTTTGGCGTCGCTGTCATACACGTAAAGACAACGGCGCGGAACGGGGATTCCACGCTTCCTCGCTGACGTAAAATACGATTTAAAGTCCATTCATTGGACTAGTAAGCGTTCACTGTGCATGAGCCAATGTATGAGCGAGTTTTGACAAGAGTGTTCGCTGCACGGTGTTCCATCACGACGAACCAGACATAAACAAAACAGACCGGAGTTGGAAGATGATGTTTAAAGTCACTCACCCTCGGAGACAGATCCGTCCAGCACGGAGCAGAAGTGAAGAACAGCTGCAACTGTTCAGCGGTTGTTGTTGTTGTCGTTGTTGTCGTCGTGTTGCTGTTGTAGACGTTGTAATTGTTCACTGTACTCCTCTGATGTCTAAAATTTCCTTTGTACCTCACAACCCCACTGATGAACACCGACAGACGCCTCTCGGCTTCTCCAATATCACACAGACCAATGCGAAGTCATATCAGACCAGTCACTCTGGTGCTGCGTTCACGTGTCAGGAAGCAGCGATCAACGTTTTAGAAAGAGACAATTCCGTTTGTTTGGTTTTTTCATATAGCTTTGACACATTCGTGAAAGAAAGACAGTTTAATTATTAGCACAAAAACTACCTCTTAATATTTTCCAATTTATCCAATTGAAGAGATAACATGCTAACCGCTAGACGTTGGTTTCTGTAGTGTTGTATCAAGTAGCAATGTTACTTGCTAAATGCACCGTTTACACCGTTCGGAAAGCCGAATTTACATGTTTTAATTTAACTCCCTCTTCAAACCGAGTCCAATTGAGTTTTATAATGTAGACTGAATATTTGGGGACTTTACAATTTTCTATAAACGCCAGACAGACACATATTATATGATACTTTTTGGGTTCCGTATTGTTAACATTTTCATTGGACTAATAACGTCTTGGTGTGTATATTTAAATGTATTTGTTTTATATTTATTTGAACGATAACAACATTATGTTATTAGCAGTAGCGGTGGTGGTCTTCATTGTATTAGAAACGATATGGAACTGTAGCAGTTGGTATTAAAAAAAAACTTTGTTTCGCCTACTGACAACAGGCGACGTTAATGTGTGTATGTAAATCCCCATGTAACGTGAAGGCGGCAGCGGGTGTGAGTGTGACAGACGTGACGTTCGCTGACTCAGAACTGAGTCACAACGTCGTGTCCCGCCCACGCAGCGGTGGCGACCAATGGAGTGAGAGCGGAAGCCGGAAAGCATGAAGAGTAGTCACGCAACCCGAACCCATCTTATGTGTGCGCGCGTGTGAGAATGTCCGTGTGTGTGTGTGTGTGTTTCTGAGGAGAACAGACCAACTGACCGTTGACGGCAAACGTTATAATGTTATTTTTCATATGGAAGAAAAAGGAATTCGCTTTAATAAATACCTAATGCTATTATATATATCATGAATTCTTGATTTTATATTGATATTAATTATAAGTGTTTCCTACGGAAACGTCCGTAAAGTATCTCCTCATTTTAATGTAAACGAATATAATTATGTAAATATAGGAAATACTTAATAAAAATGTAATCTTGTCACGCCACGCTCCCCTGCACCTGGTTCTTTTAACATCCTCGGTGTACCGGGAGTTACAAGGCAGGGTATCCTTGTGTATATGTCGACCCCTGCTGGTATTAACTTGAAACTGCACGTCAAATTTCGAAACAGCCACTACTTTTCATACAACTGTCCTTAAGGCAAATCAGTGGATGATTGTGTTGGTAACACTGGAGCCTCAGTTCAAGGTTGTAACTGAGAATCTTTCAGTGAGAACCAGACATGTTTATATTTTTCTTCTTGCGTCTCTGTCGCGTTTCCAAGGCAACATTTCAAATAATCCTAGATTCTAATTAGAAGTCAATTAAACTGTTCCTTGACTTCAGTGTGGTCATTTAAATGCTTATCTCTGTAAAACTGCTCTGGATCAGAACGGAAGTCAATCAAATGTTTTATTTAGATTTAGCTTTTTAATGTACTCCTTTTTTCGTTTTTGTTTATATATATTACTGAATATATTTAAACGGATTTGGGAATTTAGATTTTTCACAATAAAACATGAATCTCGGGGGGGGGGGGGCTTTGGAACATACAGCAAACAAAGAAGATGCTGAAAAGTTATTTATTTAGAAATTAAATACAGAGTACAAAGCTCCACAAGTATATCACCAGTACACGCACACGCAGTTCTCTGATTTTATGACCGTGATTTTCCAGACTACAAGTCTCTCTGGATTATTAATCGCACCTGCCAGCTAGAGCGCCCTCTAGCGGCCGTCAGTGTGAAAATAACAAACGTTAAATAATATATTTTAATATACAGTATAAGTCAAACCTGAGTATAAGTCACAAACCCAGCCAGAGGATGAAAAAAAATGCGACTTATAGTCTGGAAAATACGGTATCGAGTTTCAATCACTCGTCAGTTCACATTAGAAAACAGTTCATATAAAATCTGATAGTTCATAAAATAAAAGTTTAATTAAACAAACAAAACCTTTGGTCCGTCTGTCTCTACAGACATTTAAAAAAAAAAAAAAAAAGTTCGTCAGAAAGTCAACCCTTCAAGATTAAATACGAGAAAAACCTGAGTGAATCGATCGAGTGTCCGACAGAACAGATCGACTCAAAGCAGCCGCCAGTATAAAAAGACAATTGAGTCCAGGAGACGATCTGGACCGTGAGTCCAGTTCAAGATCATAAAGACGAACCAGGTGGGTGTGAAACCCTCTGACGTCTATGGTTTTTAATTAAGTGAAGTTAAGTTTCAGTTTTCTCTGAAATGTTGTCTTTGTTTTGAGTTTTGTTTTTACTATTCTGTTTTTCTCATGGGATTCTTTTTCCAAAAAACAAATTGTCGTTAGAGGGATCTGCTTAATTTAATTTGTACAACAAGTCATTTTACACAATAGTGCACTTGACACAGCCCTTCACTTAGTCTGAAGTATTTAAGGAGTTAGCAGAAGAGCTAGCATATAATGGAAGATCAAGTCGGCTCCCTGCAAACGTTAAAGGGTTTTTTTTTTCCAATATCACATTTCATTTATTACAGTTACACTATTCACTTATCTGAGGCAGAAAGTTGGAGTTGAACCTTTAAAATTCATAAATTAAAAAGTTAAAAAGTAGCTTACTGGCTAATTAATGCTAATCTATGCTAAGATTAAGGAGGAAAACACAGTTCAAATCCCACTTTCAGCCCAGCTCCAAACCCACTGGGTTAAGAACGCTAATGCTAAGCTAATGCCAGCTAACCAGTGTAAGAGCACAGCAGTTAGACTTCTCAGCTGTTCAGTGTAAAGACACGACACGTACCTGTGACATGTGAGAACTGTAGTAAATAAATTAAATATTCTTGGTGTTTAGGAAGACGGTGCTACAGGAAGACGGTTCTGCCTCAGCCGTCAAATAGAACGGTTCCTTTTTACAGTGTTCTGTGCAGAGAACTGAGTCTGGACTCAGGTCAGAAGGACAAGTTTATGTCCCTGAAGAGTTAATCCTCAGCCGGGAGGACCAAACCGAAGTGCAGCACCAACAGGCCGTCCTGGAGAAGAACAGAAGAAGAAGAAGAGAGCGATGACATCACCGACCAGGCCAGGCCAGAGTCGACCTGAGGAACAGTTCTGCTACTCACCTGTAACGCCTCCTGACCCACAAAGTTTTGCACTTCTTTGAGGGACTGATACCGATCCAGGAGGTGGTCCCCACAGACAACATCAACCTGGAAAACAAGACCAGAGGAAAACAAGACCAGTGTCAGGAAACCTGACAAAAAGACATGTTTTTTTTTTGTCCCGCTCCTTCTGTGATTTAAATCTGTCTGTCTACGTTATGACTGTAAACATTTGTCACATCAGATTATGACCTTCACCAGAGCGACTCGACTAAACTCTGGACGTCTGCCACACTCACCTGACAGGTGGGACCGAGCTGCATCTTCTTCCTGATGAATAACTCCACATGTCTGACGGTGGCTTCACCAGAAACACGCACATACGGACGGTCTAATGGCTGCAAAATACAGAGACTTTTTTTTTTAAAAACCAATAATTTCACTTAATATTTTTTGAAAACTTAATGCAAAAAAATGAATCTGTAATTATGTTTACTGGTATCATTTCAAAAAGATACGACAGGACAGTACGCTGTGATCCAAAGTAAAACAAAGTCGGGATTTTACCTTATAATCACTGATTCCATCCTCGGCCCTGGGAAAAAAAAAAAAGTTTATAGAAGGGACTTTTATTTTGTAAAACACGATCAATTACTGTAGCAATATACACTCACCGGCCACTTTATTAGGTACACCATGCTAGTAAGGGGTTGGACCCCTTTTGCCTTCAGAACTGCCTCAATTCTTCGTGGCATAGATTCAACAAGGTGCTGGAATCATTCCTCAGAGAGTTTGGTCCATATTGACATGATGGCATCACACAGTTGCCGCAGATTTGTC